GTATTTCGGAAACAATGTTACCCTTATCAACGCTAAACACATACTGACACCCCGACTAGAAAAAACTCCCTTATATACCCCTAGTGACCTTATCACTTAGTGACGTCATCACTAAGTAATATTGTCACATTTTGCCAGTTCACACAAGTTTAATAATGAATTTTTCAGTGAGCCTAGATCCCAATTAATTAAATTGTTTTTATTTTTAAACATTTCTATTGCTTCTCTGATATTAAGTTCTTTGTAATTATTTACGTTTTTAATTAGTTTTATGGTTTTAATGGAGTGATTATGTGTCAATAAATGTTCAGCCACTGGAGATTTCTTAACTTCTTGATTTTTAATATTTCTTAAGTGCTCTTTAAACCTGACCCCTATATTTCTTTTTGTTTGTCCTACGTAACATTTATTACAACTTTCACATTGTATTTTATAAATGCCTAATTTCCCCCTTTATCTACCTTATCTTTAGGGTTACCTAATAAATCTCTTAAATTATTACTCTAAGATGTTACCAAAGTAATACCAAAATTCTTAAATATTTTAGTTAATCCATTTGAGATGCCCGGATAATATAAAATTGGTGATCTAATTACTTTTTGTTCCCCCTCGCTGGTGAGTGTACTAGCTGCCCTCCTTTCTTTTTTCCACTTTTGTGTTCGGACTAATTTTGAAATTATGTTTTCGTTATACCCATTAAATTTAGCTATTTCTTTTATAACCACCAATTCTTTATCATAATCTATTTTATTCATCGGAATATTAATTAATCTGTAAACCATACTATTAAAAGCTGACAATTTGTGTTGCCAGGTGTGGTTCGATGTGTTCGGAATGTATCTGAACGTGTGTTTTTCCGATAAATTTCAAAATTTAGTTCCCCCTCTGTTCTTTTAACTAATAAATCCAAAAAAGGCAATTTTCCCTCTATTTCTTGTTCATATGTAAATTTAATCGATGGGTAAAAAGAATTTAAATGTTGTATGAAAACCCCCATATTAAAATCTTTATTTATAACTGCAAAANATTAAATGTTGTATGAAAGTTAAACTTAATTAAATTTTTTTGCATTTTCTAAGTCGGGAAAAATAACTTTGAACTACATTAAATTGCCATTTATTCAGTCGACGAAAGTGACGTACGGTTGCAGAGTCGGTAAAACTTATGTCTTACGCACTTGAGGTACAAGGTTCCAACCCGTGTATGGCAAAGAATTTTTTTCTTAATTCTTTTTAAGTTAGAATAAATTTCTTATTCTTATTAAAATTATTTTACTATAATTCAGGTTTTAGCTTCGATGCAAAGCTAAGGAGGTATTTTTTTGTGACTATTATTTATTTTTTCAGCTCTAACTTGACCTACTTTTTTCAACGATACGTCAAATAATTACAATTTGTATCTAGTTGAAAATATTACCCTCAAAAATTGAAAAAAAATTCTAATTTATCAATTAAACAGTTATCTATCCCATGTTCTCCAGACAATTAAAATCATTAATTTCTAATGTTTTCAGAGTATTTATTGGCGAATCAAGTTCGATATGATAGGTTTCAATTACAAAATTAAATCATTTTACTTTGTAATTTAATAATTTTTTTACTCTATTTGTGTATGTTACTACTAGATAATAATATTTCAAATATTTTGGTGACATGTTGCAAATATATATCATTTCTAAAAAAAATGATTTTTATTTTCTCTTAAATTAACAATGGATTTTTAGATCTTTTTAACAACTTTTATTGAAATTTATTTTAGTTAAAGTAAATCATGAAGATTAATTCAGTTCATATTTCAATTGCAGATCTTTTTTAACATTTTTTATAATTTATTAGGAAATGATTACTATTATTTCTATTTAAGTTATCTATTACAATAAAAATGCAAAAATATATTGAGCTTCTCTGATCAATTTACTACAAATAGTTATTATAAAATTTCCAGACTGCATATTAATCTTAACGATACAATTTTTTTAATTCTCATAAAATTTCCTATTTAATAATGTCAATTTCAAACTTGCAAATTTAATAGATTAATAAAATAGGTTAAATGTGTCATTTTTCTTAGGTTTAAAATTTTAATAATCAAAATCAGTATTAATTTAAAACAACTTTTTTTTTGTTCTTCATTATTTTTTTATATGTAAATACTTATTTTTTAATAATAAGTAATAATATTAAAATTTAGAAGTGATCAAAAAAGTCTAATTGCACAATTGAAAACATTGCAAAAAGTTGATTTAGAAAAGTATATTTTTGTTTCTGATGAAAGTTCCTTGTAGTCCAGTATATAAAACTTATAACTTTGTTATAAATAACAAATATTTTTTATTGAAAAATATTGCATGAAGCCATTAAAATTTTTATACGTAAAAGTAGTAAAGAAATATACTACTTTATTATTTTTATAATATCTCCGTAAAAATTACAATATTAAATTATTGAATATCAATTTCATAATAAATTTAATTATTATAATTATAAATCAAATAACTAATCAGGATAAAATTAAGGGAATAAGAGTTATTGTTGCTTTTGAAAAATCTACCAATTTCTTAAAATTAAACACCACAGATTAACAATGAAACGTTTCTTATGATAGTTATTGTAATCACTGTCACATATCATCTATACTTGTCCCAACTATGTCATGTCCATACTATGTCGTGACCCCGCTGTGCTACCCTTTTTAATTATCGATTGTAATATCTTCAACTAGATACGATTTGTGATCTTTTGACGTATCGCTGAGAAAAATTGATCCAGTGATATTTGAGAAATAGTAGTGACAGCCAAAAAAAAAGTTAAAAAATATATAAAAAAATAAATATATCATGATAAAATTACACCTCAGCATCGCATCAAAGCTAAAAATAAAATTATTTTGCAAAATTTTATAACAACAATTATAAAATTTGACGAAGCAAAAAATCGTGGAGGGGCACTTCCTCTATGATAACCAATTGATCACACAATTTATTCAAAAAACGAGTAATTTAAATTTTATAAATATCTATGTATGCCTGTATTTCAATTATTAAAATTATTCTATTATTTTAATAATTAAAAACCATCATTACTTACCATCATAAAAATTGATTTTACCAAAAAAATAATGTAGGATTAAATTAATTTTTTTTTTCGACAGAGTTAAGCAAAAAAATTTACAAAACTTAACTTTTAACTTTGCAATTAAATTTGTAATTTGTTAACTTATCAAATATTGCTCCTATTTAACTTAACTTAAATTAATTATTTACATTAATTCGCCCATCTTTGAATTTATATATATTATATGAGTGGATGTAAATTAATGCGCCATTGTCTTGAATATTTTTCTTATAAGTAAAACAATTAATTAAACAACTTATTAATGACCCTAATTTATTTATTAGTAATAACCTAAAAATATATAGTTACTAAAATAACTTTATATTTTCATAGTTGAACGATTACAAAAAAATAATGATGAAATTTATAATTTATATTTATTTTTAAAGATTACAATGAACTCACATAATTGAGTAATTTAAAGTAAAAAATGAAGTTATCACAGATGTATTTTTAATGAATTATTTAAAATAATAATATTTTGTAATTAATATATTTTTCATTCAAATTATAAAAGAGTAAAACCTTTATTTTGTGTATGTCTTTTAAGGAATTCTATGAAGTTTAACAAATGATTACGAATTTGAGGATTGACCATTAACAAATATTGTGTTTTATCTGAATCATCTATTTCTGTTTTTGATTCTACATTTAAATAGCTTTGAGATTGTCGAACAAAATCTGCTACACGACCATACATAGTGTTATTCTACAAAAATTAATAAAATACAAAATGGTGATTAAATTATAACATTTAAAAAATTGAATCAGAGGCTAGCTAAGAGGGCTGAGAGCTGAGTAAAAAAAAAAAGAAGGTAGTCTAAAATAATTATAAAATAAAACATTTCTTGAAACCCTCTTTGAAAAATTATTTCTGGCTACACCACTGGATTGAATAATAAATAAAATATCCTGACCTATTTTGGCAATAATTTTTACCTGCAAAAATATAATTTAAAAATTTTCAATCAGTGGTGCAATTAGCAGAAATGTTGGTAAAGTGTTACTTTAGAGACCCCATGGTTTAAGGGCCCCATGAATTTTTTTTTTTTAATATCAAATTTAAATTTTTGTATAAAAAACAAAAAATTTCATCAAAATTTATTAAGAGGTAGTTTTTAAGTAGAAACGGTCTTGTGTAAAACATTCATTTTGATCCTCTTACGATCAAGTTGTACTCTTATTTAAAAACACTTTACAATTTTATACAGATTCCTCTTATAATATATTTACAAGTGGCTTTTATATATTTTAACATAATTTTGAATATAAACTCAGTTATCATGAAAAATGTCAGATAAAAGTTTTGCCACAAAGATATAAAAATATGTCAGTTGACTATATATCACATCTAAATCGCTAATTTCTGGAAAACAGCTTTACCTCTGAGCTATCAAATAGCTACACTAATACATCAACTTCTGAGAATTTGGTTAATAATAAAATGAAATCTTACTTGTGTTGGCATACATATAGTAATAGAAACCAATGTAGGATCTTCATGTATAATACAAGGAGTTACAATATGAGTAATTGGTAATTGTTGAATAACTGGAGATATGTTATTAGGGTCATTGATTAAAAATAAACACTTTTTAGTGAGAAGTAATGTGCTTTCCAAAAATTTTTTTCCTGATTGACAATTATCTATAGTGGCATCACATATTAAGAAGATTTGATCATCGATACTTAAATAATTGTTAAAGATTAACCAAGAGTATCTAAGTTCAGATGCACCAAAGTACAACTCATTTTCATTTGGAATATTTCTTAACTGAAAAAAAGAATACAACAAATTAACATTTTTTTGGGTTATTAATAAAAACTGACAATTTTAGATTTGATTAAATGTTAGGAATTTTCTATTTTAATCATCTTATGAATGAACTAAATATCATTTTTTTAAATGTCATTATTTTTGTTGAGTCAAAAATTAAATTTTCAATAATTTTTTGAATTTGAGAATAATGTAACAAAATAAAGTTTATTTTTTATTTTTTTTTATATTATATTCATTTATTTTTTAGATTAAATTTTAATCACTTTATTTAATTTAAGTGGATAGAAATCATTGATGCATGTAGGAAAACTGTTAATAGGCTTGAGTCACATTTCAAGCCTAAGGTCAAGAGTAAAAAAAGGCAAAGCTGGGTGATAATTCCTTCTGTCTTTAACTTAGGAACAATATTACAAATAAAATTGTATACAAAATATTAAGATTATTATGCCTATGGAAATTAATATATACTCTCAAATTAAATATATTAAGCCTATTTGATTTTCAAAATTGGCATCCCAAATAGCTGAAATATGATAAATGTTAAAAAAGTATACTTAACTTGTGTTTCTTATACTTATAAACTAAATATAATTTAACTACAGCAAGCAGTCTAATAGAAATTATGTCAATAGATTAAATTATTTTACTTGGGGAGTTTTAATCCATCCAACACCAGCCAAAAATCCTTCTCCAGTCATTGCCACTAATTCCGCAGCTCCACTTATAGGTTTCGTAAAAACTTCAACTAATCCAATAGCTATTGTATTAACAAATCCTCTTTTTCTTTCTGGACCTTCTTGAAGAGCATATTGTATAGGATGGTTCACTAAACCACCAACAGCTCCCAATAAACTTATTCCAAATTCACTAAGCCCTTGAATTATTCCTTGTGATAAATTTTGAGGTCGTAATCTTCTAATTTCTTCAATTTCTTCTAAGTCATCAACTTCAAGAGTAAGTCTATTAAATGTTCTTGACCAGCTAGATGCAAACTTTGTGACTGACGTTAGTGCTCCAGTAGTAATATGTTTGACTAAGGATCCAGAACCACTTAAAACACCTACAAAAAATTCTTTAGGCCCTTCTGTGATTCCTTGAGCTGATAATGATACAAAATCATATAACCCCGTTCCTACAGATCTTGCTAGACCTCCAGGCGAACCCCAAAATTCTAATGACCCTAGGGCCCATCCTGTACCATATATTGCATTTAAAAAGTAATGTAATGATAAACTTCGACCAAGTTGATATGATGAAGTAATTAAATTTGATTTAGAAAATTCAGCAAATTCCAAAGGAGAACGATCAAGAGCAACGTAAAAAGTGGTTGATGTATGTAGACTCAACAGAATTTTAAATGGTTTTATGGTAAAATTTCTGAACACCAATGGATTACGGAACTCATGAGAATAAGCTAATAACATTATGTGTAGAGGAATAAAACCTTCAAGCAAAGAAATTTTTTGTTTTGGCGATGGTGTTGATCTGAAATTTTTCAATATTTCTAGAAGAGAATAACAGAAACGATCTTCAATAAATGCTTCTAAAGTGCAAAAATGTACTTCTAAATCCAACAAATCTAAAAAAAATTAAAAAATACTATTTAATGGATTATTTTTCAATGAAAATAATTATTTAAAGTAATAAAAATTTTACCTAAAGCCAAACTGTTAGCTTTTACCAATATCAAATTAATATAAATATTTGAATCTAATGCCCTGACATCCTCTATTAATTGAGATAGTGGTTTATCAAAATTAGTATTAATGTATATTTCTTCAGAACAATTTTTTTGTTTTACTAATATAACAGGAAAATCATAGTGTCCGTCCAAAAATGTATGATTATCAATTTGAACATTGAGAATTGAAATAGTCAAATCTATTTCTTTTTTTGACAAATCCTAAAAATATACTTTAATAATTTTTATTATAAACTTTCTGGGACTATCACAAATAATTTAGTAATTGAAAATGTTTAATTTTTTTTTTATCTAATAGTTTATAATCGTAGGCAAAATTATGGTATAGGACAGGTTAGCCATAGCAGTTTAACAATAAAAAGTGAAAACAATGTGTTTAGAAAAAAACTCGGATATACCTTAAGACCATGACCTAATGAAATGTTCTTGGTTCTTTACTGGGAATAATTTTACAAAATTATGAGATTTAAATAAACAAAATATAATCATATTTGCCTAAAATGAAAAAATATATATAATAAAAAAGTAAAAAAAAATTTTTATATTATTTTGAAATACAATAGTTCATTTTTTTGACTTTATACATTCATTATATTTGTCAGAAAATAATTTTCTAGAAACATTGTGATATATCCATGGTTTGAAGTGTTCAAAATGTCTTTAATAATTAAATTTTATTGTTTTTTTGTTCATTACAGAAATTTAAAAAAAAATGAAAATGATAAATTAAATATTTCATATTTTTTAGGTTTACATTTCCTTCTTATAAAGTTTATATATAGATTAATAGCAAATCTCAATTAATTTCCTTTCAACCTTTAGCAGTATTCTAGGAGAACTTAATAGGGCTATGATCTAACTTTTTTTTGGCAACTCCCAATAATTAAAATATAATGTGCTAAAAAGCTTTAACAAAATTTCGCTTATATTATAACAAAATAAATATAACATGTTAATTTTTAACTATAGGTAAAATAGGATTTATGTTAGTCCAATTTTTATTGTAGTAATAAAATATAATTACATTAACTTCATTTAAAGTAATTGCAATGTTGTCTAATGTCACAGCTGTAATAGGTTTTGAATTAAATCCAAAATCATCAATCAATAAAGTGAATATAAATGTATGAATATAACATTTAATCGATGGCCATATAACTAAAAAAAATGATTTATTTTATCTGGTATTATAATACCAAAACAAATATAATAAATTGAATTTAATGCATAATTACTATTAGGGTTAATGGAAGGCTCATTTTGTGTAAAACTTAACAAGGTAGTATCATTATTGTAGCATGAGTAATCTAAAAGTTCATCATTTGAAGTCAAATCTAAAGGACAATAAAAATAAAAATATTATTTACTTTTAAAATTAGTATTTAAATTACTAACCTCTTGAAAGCTAAAAAAAAAAAAAAATTACTAACCTCTATAGTTTTTATAATTTGCTAGTCTTAATCTAACTTCATTAGCAGAAAATTCAAACTGAGCAGCAGGTTTTAGAACAACATGCAATGTTAATCCTTTTTTTTTAATTGTAATTTTTATGTCATTTTTTTCTCCGGGTACAGTTATTAATCTACTATCACAAACAAGCAGTTCTAACTTACTAAACCAACCTAAAAAATAAAATTATGGCAATATAGTTTTGTTAAACTAATGTCTAAATATGCAGGATTAATATTATCATGAATTAATCATTTACTTGGAAAAAAACATAATTTTGAGAAATTGGGGTTTGGTTTTTTTTTAACTACATACATTTCTCTACTTATAAAAAATAAATTACTTATAAGGTTCATCCTGTATATAAAAGTGATTGATTATTCAAGAAATATATGTAACTAAAAATAACTAAAAAAATTCTTAAGGTAATTTTTATTTTATAAATAATGGATTATTAACAGAATAATACAGTATACATTCTTAAATTTATATATATATAACTGCCCTAAGCAGTTGCATTAATTTTCTGAAGTATTGCTTAAGGGTTTAATTTCTATAAATTTATAAAAATTAGTTTTTAAAGTAATATTTAAACAGCATTTAAAAATTAAAAAGATTTGTTTTTCAGGCGAGGATAGGCAATTTACTTACCAGGAAATATTAGATTAATTAAGGACATAAAGTTTTAAAAAAAGTTACTTGCAGTTTATTTTTATTATATTATAAATAAATTACATTACATTAAGTAAGTATATCAAACTTTCTTAATCAACTGTAAACGATTGCAAGAAAAAATGTTGAGCCTTCAGTTTTAAAAATGAATTTTAATATTATCAAGGGCCATATCAAAACAATTCTGATCTTATGGTAGTTATACATACCAAAAAAATCAAAATTTCAAAAAAAATAAAAATAAAAAATAACAAGAGTACATATATTCATCCATGTTGTAAATAAATTAGTTCCATAAAGTTAGTGACTGGCAAAATGATTACAACCTTCTTTTTATACATTAAGTTATAATCACTTAATACTTTTGGGAGTTATTTGACTATTGAGTATAAGTATTATTTTAGATTAATTTTGTGTAAAAAAAATTTAAAGTAAAATTACAAATTAGTGTTAACTTATAAATTATTCCCTTAAGTAGAAATATTTGTCAGTTATTGCATATTATCTTCTTTAAAAATGTAAATAATTTATTACAATAACCAACTTGAAAAATTTTAAAAGAAGTTAAGCAACTTTATAGTATCCTTAAATAATCATTATCTCAATTTTTAAGTTAACATTAGAATGATTCATCTTATAATAAAAATTAAAATCCATTTTTTTAATTAAAAGAAAAAATTATTGATTTTCGTCATATTTTTTTAATACATTTTATCTTTTATTTTTAAATATTTTGCGAAGAATAACTATGACCTGATAACTGTTTTTTATTAATTATTAATTAATATTAATATCTACCTATAAAAGATTTCCTATTGATTCCAATTAATATTTTTGGAAGTTGTTTATTTTCCATCGAGTATGGAAATGAGAGGTGACCTTTTTTCCCTGAAGACACTGTAAACGTCCAATTCCAATCTTCAGAGAACAGAACAGGTTCTTTTATTTTGTTTTTATTTTTTTTAGCAACAGCAAATTTTAAAGAATTATGACAATAATTGTAGAATATTATCTGAGGATATGGTTGATTATAAATTGTTATAAAGTATTGACTATCTTGTTTTTGTAATGTAACACATATTAATGGATTTAAATCACATGATGAAAATAGTACAGGCATTGGATATTTTTCATTCATTATTTCTGATATTTTGATAGGACAACTAAAATTTCCATTAAATATTAAAATTATATATTGAACAAGATCTTCATTATTGACAATTTGACTATCGATTTTAGCCCATAATGTTAATGGTTTTCCTCTATAATAAGAAAAAAATTTCATTTCAATAAAATATTAAATGAAGACATAGTAATACATGTTTTGGTAAGTTTTCATTTCAAAATAATCTGAATGATTAAAGTTTATAGTATAGACTCTGTACCTTGTGGAGAATTATGTATTGTGGAATACAGAAGAAATTACCTGTGGATTCATGTTACTATAGTGGCGTAATTAAAGTTTTGTCCTGTTGGATATATATGAGAATTAGCGTAGGGAAAGTGGCGTCCCCATTGCCTAGTGCACCTTAATAAGTGCACTGCAGTAGCCCTACCTTGACCTTAATTGGTTGAGGTAGTCTGGTCCTCCAGGTTGGGGTTTGAGCGTGGGGCTAACAACCCCACCTCATAAAAACTTATTTGTTATGATACCATCAGAAAATCAGCCTCGAACATAGAGAAACGGTTATAAATTAGGACATGGAAATCGAAAAACTGGAATTAAGATCGCAACCTGGAACACATTGTGCCTTTTTAGAACTGGAGCTTGCCAAAATCTTACAGATGTACTAGAAACATATGGAATACATATAGCAGCCTTGCAAGAGATAAGATGGTCTGGGAATGGATAGATTAAAGTGGGGAAATATGTAATTTATTTCTTTGGGATGGAGAAAAGACACATATTTGGGAGCGGATTTGCTGTGCATGAAACCCTGGAACCATACATAAGAGAGTTCAATCCCGTCTCAGAAAGAATAGCAGTACTACGAGTTGACACAAAACCTCTAAATATAGTACTAGTGTGTACACATGCTCCAACGGATACAGGAGATGAGGATATCAAGGATGCGTTCTACTAGGAACTGGCACATACTTATGATAATATACCAGGGAACGTAATCAAATTAGTGCTGGGGGACCTAAATGCCAAGTTTGGAAGAGAGACACAATTTAGCCCAACCATAGGTAGTGAAAGTTTACATGAGACAAGCAACGGAAATGGACTAAGACTCATATTCTTTGCCACTGCAAAGAATATGACAATAAGTAGTACAACGTTTCTAGACAAGGACATTCACAAAGCCACATGGAAATCACCGGACGGAATAACAGCTAACCAAATAGATCACATACTTATTCAAAAGAGATTTCGCTCATGTATAAAAGACATACGAAGCTATAGAGGCGCTAACTGTGATACAGATCACTTCTTAGTAGTTGCAAAGTTCGAGATAAAGCTACAGAGTCGAAAACAACTAGAAAAAGTAAATAGCATAAAGATAAATCTAGAGATGCTAAAGGATGAAGAAATCCAACAAAAATACTCAAAAATTATTGGTGAATATATAAAAGACATTGAATTGAATGACATAGATGAAGACTGGGACAAAGTTAGCAAAGCCATTAAAGAAATCGCAGCAAAGGACATTGGAAAGACAAGAAACAAGAAGAAAAAATGGTATAATGAAAACTGTCGACAAGCAAAAAGAAAACGACAAACTGTCCGTGAAAACTATATTAAAGAGGATAGTACAGACAGAAAAAGAATATACATCTTAGAAAGGAAGATGTGTAAAAGAGTACTACAAAGAGAGAAAAGAAAGTATCTAAGTGATATATTACAAGAGGCAGAAAGAAATTGTGTCGATGGGAAGTGTTAGAAATTTCTTTAAGACCATAAGACAATACAAAATGTTCAACCCAAGTCTAAAAACTATTAAGAATCGTCATGGCGAAATACTCATGGACCCTAAAGAAAAAGCCGAAAGATGGAAAGAATACTTCACTGAACTGTTGAACGCAGATATCCCAGATAACGCAACGAGAAGGGAAAACCTATATGGAGCAGAGCCAATGATAAGTGAAGTGACTAGGGAAGAAGTTAATGAAGCAATAAAAGACCTAAAAAATTGGAAGTCACCAGGATCGGACGAAATACCAGCTGACCTCATTAAATATGGTGGAAAAGAGATGCAAAACCTCCTTTTCAGGATTTGCCAGAAGATCTGGAAAGATGAGAGCATGCCAAAAAGCTGGAACGAAGCCATAATTATACCGATTTACAAAAAAGGTAACAAGTCAATTTGTGAAAACTATAAAGGAATATCACTGCTTAACTCAGCTTACAATGTGTTTGCGAGAATACTATTAAAACGGCTAACGCCGTACACAGAAGAAAACTTAGGCAGATACCAGTTATAAGAGAATTGCAGTCAGAAACAACTGGAGTGGAAGTCGGTCAGCAATACATACAAGTATTGGGATTTGCAGATGATTTAAATATACTAGGAAACTCCCTAGAGGAGACAATAAAAGCAGCCCAAGTCCTTGAACAAGCAGCTAGCAAGATAGGTTTGAAAATCAATGCCGAAAAAACCAAAGTAATGGAGTTGCTAGAAAATGGAGACAACCCCGACACGGGGTCCCTAACCTTCGAAAAAGTAGATGAATTTCGATATCCAGAAGCTATGCTGAGTGCTAAAAATGATTGGTCGAAGGAAATAGGAGTGAGGATCGCCAAGGCGATAATAAATATTAATATTAATATTAATAAATATTAATTTAGTAGAACTAAAAAATATTAAAGACATTTAACTAAAAAAGTTTTAAAAAATACTAAAATATTATGCATACATATTTCAGGCACAATGAATAAAAAAATGTTTGATATTAAATTATATTAAAATTTTATTTAATAATAATAATACTTTTAAAATATTCATGTTGGAGTTTTTTTTTATCTATTAAACTCATTTAATTAACTATATTTAAAATAGAGGCTTTATAACAATAGGATTTACAATTCAGTTTGGTGAGAGGTCATGTTTGCAACCCCTCACAAATTATAAAAATATTAACATACTTTAAGAATTGTATAAAGTTGCATGAGTATATTTAACTTGAAAATTTAATTGTTTTCTAGGATTCTTTAATGTTTTACATTCTAGTACCATATAATTGGAAGCTAGCAACAGTCAAAGGAGGTCGGGATACCAAATTCCTTAAGAATAAATTTATCATATTTATAATCTATTTTTTTTTTGTAATCCTTTAAATTTTACTCAAATTATACCACTCCACTCTAATATAAAACATTTTTTTAATTTTATAAATAAAACTTATAAATAATTTAAGAATATACATACAGATCACAATAATTTTTGGGTAGACTAATAATATTTGTATCCATACTTTCAGGTAAATTTAATAATTTACCCAAAGCAGGTTTAACACACACTGGTAAAATATTTATGTCAATTATACTATGATTCGTGGCCACATATAAACTTTGAATATGAACGATTCTTATTTCATTGTGTTCTATTGAGCTGATATTCAAATAACCAATCTATAGTTATTTTAAAAAAATGAATGTTAATTTTATTCATAAATAAAGTCAAGTATACTTACAGAATTTTGACCATTAATAACAACAGATGTATTTCCATTTACAGGAATTAACCCTTTAACATGTGGTATAGAAAATGATGTATTTTTAGACAATTGTAGAGGTTGGGAGCGATTTATTGAACCATCAATACTTATATCTATGTAAAATGTACTCTTAAAAGTATTAAATAAGTAATTTGATTAAATTGAGATTATATGTCACAAAATTATATTAATAATCAATAACTACTTCTATCAAAGGAGGAGCGACAACACAGTAGTTTTCTAAGCTACAAAGTATACTTAAAGAATCTGATAACAAAACTGCTTGCCCGGAAGTATTGATTATTAAAGCCCAAGGTTGTATTAAAATAATTCGAGATGAACTATCATCATGGTCTATAAATCCATATGGTAAAACCTAAAAAATATATTTTTTCTATTAGGTTCTATTAGGTTAATCAGTAATACATAATTACAGCCATTTTACTATTGAAGAAATTTTTTTATTATTTATTGTCCTGTGTAATTATTTTTCTATCAATGTAATTAAATGAAAATTATTACCTTGACTGTAGTTTGTGTATCTGGTACCTCAGTTTGTTTCCACTTTATATCATCAAATTGCTTACCAATAAATGGCCATTTCAACTCAGTATCTATAGATATGCATTTGCCATTTAAAATGTCTTCTATTGTGAAATAGACATCATTCGTTGATTCTTTGCATTCAGTATTATTGTAGTATGATATTGGTACTGATGGACTAGACCCTGAAGATTCTTCACTAAAAACCACATTTTAAATATAATCAATCAGATTCTCTATGTAGAAATACTTAAAAACATTCTCATATTTTGATATGTTTTATAAATTAAAATTAAAATTTTTTATACATACTTTAATTTAATAGTTAAATCGTATGTATTTTTCATTGTGCCTGGTAAATCAATAGGTTGCATGTCACTTTGATCAATAGCAGATTTAATTTGTACAACAGTTTTAGGTTCACATATATTTTCATTTGATTCAAAATTCAACAAAATGTCATAAGGCAAATATGAACGAATGTTATACATAGGCATTATTAAAATCTAATAAAATCAAATAAGAAAAATTAAATATTAGGTAATTGATTTATTGTTGACCAATAGATTTCATCTAAAATGATTATTTTCAAATTTATTTGTTTATCAGTATTTATTTCTCAATTTTTAAGAGGTTAAATATTTTTTAGGTCTATCTCTTTTTTTTTAAAGTACTAATTATAATTATAATTAATACTTATACTTATAATTAGTACTAATTATAATTGTAATTACTAATTAAGTATAATTGTGTATAAAAGTACTAATATAATTTTTTTAATTGTAATACACATTATTAACTAGTTAATATAATAGAAAATTATCTAACTAAGGAAATAACAATAACAATTTTTGAAATAGAACTTCGGAAGTTAAAATATTTAAATATAGAGTGGAGTAAGATTGTGACAGATAATTTGAAAAAGTTATCTCTACATTGCATTCCTTTTTTGATAAAATTGGCAATTTAAGCTGATTCAAATGTTAAAATAAATTTTTTTGACTTTAAAGAAAAAAAAATAAAATAAGTTTAACATTATATTCGATGAAAAAAATGGCAATTTAAGGTAGTTCAAATTTCAAAGTTAACTTTCTATGCTATATTAATTTGATTTATATAATATTCATGAAAATCAGTGTACCCCCTTATAAAGAATTTTAAAATAAATTAAAATACAATACCAAGAATTTTAACACAAAAATAACATGTTTTTTAACTACGGCAACCATTTACATAGAAGATAAAGTCGTCGGGACAATTTTTTTTTTGAACTTATAGCATATAACATTAGCTTTATTAGCTTCGATGCGAAGCTGAGAAGGTATTGGTTTTACTAAGATGTGTTTATTTTTTTTTTTTTTTTTTGTCTGTTACCACTTTTTCTCAGCTCTCACCGAACCAATTTCTTTCAATGATACGTCAAAAGATCACAAATTGTATCTAGTCGAAGACATTACCCTCAAAAATTGAAAAAAATGCCCTCGTTCCCCGTAAATGGGGGAAACCTCCAAAAAAATTACAAATTTAAAAATCGCTAATTTTCGAAATTTTTTCAATTTTTTTTACTTAAAAGTGCCATAACTTTTTCAAAAATAAACATATCAATATAATTCTTTTTTATATAGATGCATAATATCATTACCTTTCATTTGGTATATTTTTTTCATAAATTTAACCCTTAACCTGCCCACAAGGGGGGATTTAAAATGACAACTTTTTCACAAAAAATTAATTTTTTTAACTTAAATTTTGAAAATGTTCCGGAAGGTCTGACACTTTTATATATATCTTAAATTAAAGCTAATGTAATATACTTTATTATGGTAAAAAAAAATTTCGGACTTTATTTTATCTTCATGGTGAAAACAGACATTAAACTTAATAAAAAAAATACGATTTTTGTAAAAAAATTCTTTTTTATATTTTTAACTTTATAATGCTATAACTTCTCGAAAGATGTATGGATCAATATAATTCTTTTTTTTGTAGATGCATGATGTCTTTACCTATCATTTGGTATATTTTTTTTATAAATCTGACTTTTTACCTGCCTACAGGGGGGGATTCAAAATGACAACTTTTTCACAAAAAATTGACTTTTTCAACTTAAATTTTGAAAGTGTTCCGGAAAGTCTGACACTTTTATATATATCTTAAATTAAAGCTAATGTAATATACTTTATCATGGAAAAAAAAAATTTCGGACTTTATTTTATCTTCAAGGTGAAAATGGCTACCAAATGCTATTATTGTGTGAAAATTCTCAATTTTATTTTTTACATTTTTAACATTATAATGCTATAACTTATTGAAAAGTGTATTGATCAATATAATTTTTTTATGGGAAATACTATTTTCTAATAATCTCTTTTTTATTCTACATACTTTGTCTTAATCAGGATATTAATAAGGAACTAGCAGTTTATGAAGCTTTTGGAATAATCCACCAATTTTTTAAAATTAAACACTATCTAAAGATTTGCATCGAAGCGTTTTTTTTTGATAGTGATTTTAATCACTGTCAGATATCATTATACTTGATCCATCTATACCACGTCACCACTGTGCCGCGACCCCCCTGTGCTGGGTTTTTTAACATGTATTTGAAGCTCGGAGTATTTCAGTAACATTTTCAAAACTTAAGTTGAAAAAGTTAAATTTTTATAAACAATAAGGGATAGACCTAAAAAAAACCCAGCACAGGGGGGTCGCGGCACAGTGGTGACGTGGTATAGATGGATCAAGTATAATGATATCTGACAGTGATTAAAATCACTATAAAAAAAAAACGCTTCGATGCAAATCTTTAGATACTGTTTAATTTAAAAAAAAAAAATGTGTTAAAATAGCATATTTTTTAATACGGTAGCCATTGATAGTATATAACATTACCTTTGATTTGATATATGTTTAAAGGACGCAGTATTCCCGGAACATTTTCAAAAGTTCAGTTGAAAAAGATCTATGTTTTTTCAATATTTCAAGTTTTGAACGCCCCCTTTATAAGGGGAATTTGTCCAATTTTAATAAAACGTATGTCAAATGAAAAATATATACTTATATTATATTTAGAAAAAAAAAAATTGTGCTGATACATACATTTTTCGAATAGTTATAGCATTTTTAAGTTCCAAAAACTATTCCAAACTATTCCAAAAGCTACATGATCTGCTAGTTCATTATTAATATCCTAATTAAGATAAAGTATGTAGAATGAAAAAGGGATTATTAAAAAATATTATTTCTCATAAAAAAATAATGTTGATCCATACACTTTTCAATATGTCATAGCATTATAAAGTTAAAAATGTAAAAAATAAAATCGAGAATTTTCACACAATAATAGCATTCGGTAGCCATTTTCACCGTGAAGATAAAATAAAGTCCGAAATTTTTTTTTCGCATAATAAAGTAAATTACATTAGCTTTAATTTAAGATATATATAAAAGTGTCAGACCTTCCGGAACACTTTCAAAAGTTAAGTTGAAAAAGTTCTACTTTCTATATGCATTTTTATGTTTTGAATCCCCCCTGTATTTAGGGAAATGGTCCGATTTAAAAAAACAGTATGTCGAATGAAAGATCTATATAAATACTACTTCTCATAAAAAAATTGTAATGATTCATACATTTTTCAAAAAGTTATAGCATAATAAAGTTAAAAATGGAAAATCTAAAAACCAGAATTTTCACACAACAATAGCATTCGGTAGCCATTTTCACCGTGAAGATAAAATAAAGTCCAAAATTTTTTTTTCGCATAATAAAGTAAATTACATTAGCTTTAATTTAAGATATATATAAAAGTGTCAGACTTTCCGGAACACTTTCAAAATTTAAGTTGAAAAAGTCAATTTTTTGTGAAAAAGTTGTCATTTTGAATCCCCCCCTGTAGGCAGGTAAAAAGTCAGATTTATAAAAAAAATATACCAAATGATAGGTAAAGACATCATGCATCTACAAAAAAAAGAATTATATTGATCCATACATCTTTCGAGAAGTTATAGCATTATAAAGTTAAAAATATAAAAAAGAATTTTTTTACAAAAATCGTATTTTTTTTATTAAGTTTAATGTCTGTTTTCACCATGAAGATAAAATAAAGTCCGAAATTTTTTTTTACCATTATAAAGTATATGACATTAGCTATAATTTAAAATATATATAAAAGTGTCAGACTTTCCGGAACACTTTCAAAATTTAAGTTGAAAAAGTTCTATTTTCTACATGCATTTTTTATTTTGAATCCCCCCCTGTAGGCAGGTAAAAAGTCAGATTTATAAAAAAAATATACCAAATGATAGGTAAAGACATCATGCATCTACAAAAAAAAGAATTATATTGATCCATACATCTTTCGAGAAGTTATAGCATTATAAAGTTAAAAATATAAAAAAGAATTTTTTTACAAAAATCGTATTTTTTTTATTAAGTTTAATGTCTGTTTTCACCATGAAGATAAAATAAAGTCCGAAATTTTTTTTTACCATTATAAAGTATATTACATTAGCTTTAATTTAAGATATATATAAAAGTGTCAGACCTTCCGGAACACTTTCAAAAGTTACGTTGAAAAAGTTCTACTTTCTATATGCATTTTTATGTTTTGAATCCCCCCTGTATTTAGGGAAATGGTCCGATTTAAAAAAACAGTATGTCGAATGAAAGATCTATATAAATACTACTTCTCATAAAAAAATTGTAATGATTCATACATTTTTCAAAAAGTTATAGCATAATAAAGTTAAAAATGGAAAATACAAAATCGAAAATTTTCACACAAAAATAGCATTCGGTAGCCATTTTCACCATGAAGATAAGATAAAGTCCGAAATTTTTTTTTTTCATGATAAAGCATATTACATTAGCTTTAATTTAAGATATATATAAAAGTGTCAGACCTTCCGGAACATTTTCAAAATTTAAGTTAAAAAAATTAATTTTTTGTGAAAAAGTTGTCATTTTAAATCCCCCCTTGTGGGCAGGTTAAGGGTTAAATTTATGAAAAAAATATACCAAACGAAAGGTAATGATATTACACATTTATATAAAAAAGAATTATATTGATATGTTCATTTTTGAAAAAGTTATGGCACTTTTAAGTAAAAAAAATTGAAAAAATTTCGAAAATTAGCGATTTTTAAATTTGTAATTTTTTTGGAGGTTTCCCCCATTTACGGGGAACGAGGGCATTTTTTTCAATTTTTGAGGGTAATGTCTTCGACTAGATACAATTTGTGATCTTTTGACGTATTAATCAAAGAAATTGGTTCGGTGAGAGCTGAGAAAAAGTGGTAACAGACACAAAAAAAAAAATAAATAAATAAATAAACACATCTTAGTAAAACCAATACCTTCTCAGCTTCGCATCGAAGCTAATATACAGAGTGTTCAGTAAGTTAGGAAACAGTTAAATTGTTACAAAAAATGAGTACAATAGAAATTCGTTTCCTTATTTACTGAACACTCTGTATAGTTTTTTTTTATTAACTTTGATGTCTGATTTCACCGTAAAGACAAAATAAAGTCCAACATTTTTTTTTTAATATTAAAGTAAATTACATAAGCATTTTTTAGTTTTGAACCCCCCTGTAGGGAGGGAAATGGTCCGATTTAAAAAAAAAAGTATGTTAAATGAAAAAAGTATCTAAATAGTATTTCTCGTAAAAAAATTGTATTAATTCATACATTTTTCAAAAAGTTATGGTAATTTTAAGTTGAAAAAATAAAATCGAAAATTTTAACACAAAAATAGCAGATTTTTAGCTATCTGCGCGTCATTGGGACGAATTTTATAGTACATTTTTTATAGTACATGAAATAACCTTTAAATTGATATATGTTTAAATGACGCAGTATTACCGCAACATTTTCAAAACTTAAGTTGAAAAAATTTAATTTTTGTGCAGAAGTTGCTGTGAGCAGGTTAATGTTAGATTTTCAACAAAATTATATTAAATTAAAAGAAAATATCTAAGGTTTCAATATAAAAAATAATTATGTTAATTTGTTTATTTTTGAAAAAGTTCTAGTAGTTTTATGAAAAAAATGTCAAAAATTACTGATTTATAAAATTGTAATTTTTTTGGAGATTTCCCCCAATTACGGGGAAAGAGAGATATTTTTTCAATTTGTATGGGTAATGTCTTCAACTAGATAAGATTTGCGATCATTTGACGTATCGTTAATCAAAATCGGTTTAGTGATAGCTGAGAAAAAGTAGTGACAGTCACACACACACACAAAAAAAAATAAACACATTATGGTAAAATTAATACCTTCTCAGATTCGCATTGAAGCTAAAAATAGTTTGGATTTAGGTGATTCTGCGTTGCTTAATTGGGAATGTGTCATGTTTATTGTCCTCTTTAGCACAAGCGAAATCTTTTAAGAGAAGATGTTAAAATATTTAAGTAAATTTTTCATATTTTTTACTGAAAGAAGTAGTTTTCTATCATTGCATGCTAATTTAATCTAAGTAGTCTAATTCTGAGATGAACAATCTTCAAGTTATTACTAAAATAAATTAGAATTTTCCTATAAGATATGTTTTTTTTCAAATTTTGTAAAGAGATTTGCTGAAAATTTGATTAAACTAACTTAGGCCTTTTTTTCTAGGACCAAAGTTATGATTGAATAGATTCTCTAATTTGACTATGTAAATATAAATTCCAATAAGGATATAAATTGATAGATAATATGGGTTGTGTAGAGAGACTTTGATTTTATGACACAGGAAGTCATCTAATACTTATCATCTAATAAGGTGAATCAGTATTCTCAGATACAAAAACTTATTTCTCTTGTTAGATTAATAAATGGATGCTCACAAAAAATTCCCAAGAAGTAAAAAAATGATTAATGGAAGTATAATTCATGTAGACTATATCCTACACCTCTTAATTAAGACATAATATAAATTAATAAATCAATTGTATTCAGGACTGTTTTACGGGGAGATGAAAAAATTATTTTTGAATGTATTTTTTTTAATTGTGTGATTTTTGAATTATTATTATTGTTTTTTTTTTTTGTAGCAATCTTATTTAACTGTAAATTTCTTTATTAATGAACTCATAAATGTAAAAATGTTTATTTTAATAAAACTGAAATGACACAATGTCTTATGTCAAAAATAATTTAAATTCATAAAATATAGGTTGTGTTAACAAATTCATAATGCTAATATCATATACCACAATAAAAAAAAATGTTTAATTAAAATTATTGAATATTGTTTAATGAGCCGGTGCCTTTATAGGATAACCATAATATATAAATAAGTTTGGTATTAGGGCTATGTTATTGCCCCCCTTGGCATCTTTCTTTGAGCATCCTAAATAAGTCGAAAATGTAATCAAATATAGAGGTTTATTGAATTATAATGAGTGTAGGGATAACTTTACATCATATTAAGGCATTATTCTATGACTACTATTATATATACTTAATTTATGTTTAAAATCTCATAGTACTAAAAATCTGCACTAAAAATATAATTTTGTGTTATAATATACTTACTAAAATGCGTGGTATTTTATCAATAAATTCAATTATTAAGCGACACCATACACACCTAAATTGTTTAGTATTTTCTTTTTTCGGAACTATGATTAAATTACAAAAATAATTATTTTATTTTTGTCATATTGTAAATTGATGAAAATACTAACTTTTAACAAGCCAAAAATGTTTATTTTTATTTGATAATTCAACAGTATATAGAGGAATAGGTCCAGACCATGGTCCTTCAGAGACTGAAGAGAACCGTAGTTTAAGTGTTAACTTAAGTTCTTCGTGTAATGGCATTGATGGTGAAATATTATTAGGATTCAGTGGTAAAGTTTCTATAATTAAACTTTGTTGAATATTAATTTTTTCTTCTACTGGTTTAATTTTGGTTAATCGAGCATCCAAGAAATAATGTGTCTTGTTTATAATATTAAGTTGACTGGATATAACAATCTAAGATAAATGAGAAGATATATAGAACAAATAAATATTAATCAATAGTTTATAAATTTAAAACTCTGAAACTAGTTAATGAAAATAATTTATCTAAAGTTCTTTAATTAAAATTATCATTTATATAATTATTAATAATAGTTAACAACTTTTTTATAGATGCTTTAAATTGATCTAAAAAATATTTTATTCATTTATTCATTTATTTATTAATTTTAAATAGGGCTTTGAATCTGAATTAATATTTGTCATCATAGTAATACCAATACCCAAAACTACAAATACTGTAAAAAAAAAAAAATAAAATATTGGTGTTGAAAATTACCTAATATAAAAATCTATAAAAACCAATTATTTAGTTTGTGAGTAGAAATATGTATATATATATACATATTATATACATAAATTTTTACACCGGATTCAAAAATAAATCCAAAATAATGAGTCATAAAAATTCGGTGACAACACTCAAGGAAAAAATATTTTCAAGGCCTTAGTTTTAAATCAAGAGTAACATTTGATCACCTTAATATTATTAATTATCATCTTAAAAATGTTTTATTTTTACTAATAATTTTTTACTTTTTACTTTAATTATTTATTCAACAAAATAATATTTAAATATTATAACAGTTATTTTTAAAATCACTTACACCATAAATTGAGATTTATTTGCTTACTTTTATTGTTGTAGATGTGTATTTACTAGATAATATTAATGAATATGATTTTCCATCATCCTTTTTCAATGTGAATGACATTACCATGGTAGGGCGTATAATTATATCATCACTCCAAAATAAACTAAAATATTTACAAATTTGAACATTATGTTTATACTAATTTTAAAAATGAGAAAGTTGTAACAAAAAAATGTGACCGATAATTTTTCATTGAATTAAATAAAAAAAAAGCAAATTCTTTTTTATCAAGTTAGTTATAAATTAAATTTTTTGTTTCTTTTAAAGAGTTTTTATAATTGGACTTATTTTGTTGTTGTATATACAGAGTTTTCCATGATGTTCTGACAAATATATAATACTTACATACAAGGAAATTCTTTTAAAGCTAGCACTTGATTGTTCTTAAAATAATCATTTTTTGGTGAATTTTTTTTTTGGATCTTGTTTAGTTTTAGTTGTTATAGAGGTGAGCAAGAACTACCCTTGTACTCAGACCTATAGTTCCATTGTGCATACCTCTTACCAAATCATACCTTTTTAGTTTTTGGCTTTTATTAGTTACACATGTATTTCCATTTATTTGTTATAAAAAAATGTTTATGTTCATCTCTTATATATTATATGGATGTCAACTTAATTTTTTAAAGTGCAAACATACATATTTAATTAGCTTATAAAACAGGACATAATCTAATTAAGAAACTAACTGCTTGATAATAACTCTTGAATCAATATTTCAGAAGTTATTAATAATTTTAAAGTAATGTCTGGGAGGTTAGAAGTAGAAGCTGCTATTTTTATCACCAGAAAATTGTTATTGACCAGTTATTTTCTTAATTAGATTATTTTCTATTTTATAGACTAGTTATATCTTATATAATAAAACAAGGGGAAAAACGCTTTTTTAGTAATATTACTTAGCGTGATAAGATTTTCAAAAAATTTGTTTTTCAACAAAAGTACTCAATCCAAAAAAATTTATTGGCTCGCTCGCTCGCATTTTAAAATTTCTACCGTTTTCGAGAAAAACAGTCGCTGACGCCAGCATTTTACGACTGAAGGTTTATAAATTTCACCAAACATACCCAATGTCATTTTTGAGATATCATAAAAAAATTAATTCAATACGTTCATTTTTCACTATTATATGAGGTTTCTTTTTTTTAAGTCCATTGGATGGTTTTTAATATGGATATTGACTCATTTCTATGCATATGAGTTTATTGTAACCTTTAATTTGTAAAATATGAATTTTTATGACAATTTAATTTTATATTCAATCATTTTTAATATGTTATTGTTGTCATATATGAATTGATTGTGTTAGTTTATTAACTATCTTTTTGTTTTGATATTATGTTTAGTTTATAAAGCATATAGATACTTTGTTGATATATTTAATCAAATTTATTATTATATATATATATAGGGTGATTGCCTAACTATGTCTCACGTAATATCTTAAAAAATACAAGTGTTATAAACAAATTTCTTTTTTAATCATTATGGATCTTTGATGAACTGTTTCACAAAAAAAATTAAATTTCTATCATCATTCCTTATACTTAGAACTTGTATCGAGATTTTCAAATGGCAATCCATATTATTTTTATATATTTTTGTTTGTTATAAAAAAAAAAAAAAAAAAAATGAATTTTAATAAGATACACTACTTTAAAATGTACGATATTTGATAAAAAAATTCAGTAGTTCTTCCAACAATGTCACAATATTATTCTATATAGCCTTAAGAGCTAACGGTTTACTGTGTTAACGCACAAGTCAGAATAGCGCTTATCGATTTACGATTTATAAAATTCGAGTCCGTTATAATTTTTTCTTAAATTAGAGAGCCGTGGAGTACTATGAGATTTTTATTTATATTTATTTACCTTAAACATATAATTAAGAAGCTATTGTACTAGAATTTATAACAAAAGAAAAATTTGTACAGTTTAATTGAACTTGAAAAACAATAAAGATTTAACAATTTTGAAAGAATTAATGTTTATAATTTAAATATGTTTAAAGATAACCCTAAGGTCTTATAATAATTTTTTCAATTAATTTTTTATGCATAATTTTATAATAATAGTAACTTGGTCAAAACTTTGAAATTATATTTGAATAAAAGAATGATAATCTTGTAAACAATTTTCATAACAAAGTAATAAATTATTATCATTGAATAGGACGACAGTACTTAAACATTGTTCCTTCAAGAAGTATAGAAAAATATTTATTAATTAATAATGAAATAAAATCAATTGTTTACTGATCATTCAAGTTGTTAGACTAACTACTTTTTATTTTGTAGTATTTATCAATTTTATTCAATAAAATTATCCACATTTATCAAAGCAGCAATAATTGTTATGGAACAACTTTTATACCCCAATCTTTATATATTATATAACGATTATTATTTCTATTCTTTTAGGTACATGCATTTCTCAATTTGTTGATATCAAATAATTTATCATCCCTTATTAGTTTAATAATAATATTCTTTGAGTGATAGAATAAAGTTATAGTATACAATGATAATATGCAGGTTTTTTTATATTTTATTTATTTTTATAATTACCTTTTTGCATTCCCAATAGCAAATCTTAAAAGTGGATTTTTAAAAGGCATAAACCATGTGTAATGATAACATTGAAAACTATCAACTATTATTTCTTCATTTGTTTTTGATTGTCCAAATCTATAAAAAAATATTTAATTATCTATATGAAAATTAATAATAGGAAAAAAAGTAAATACTTACATAATTGGAAAATTGGTATCATTACAAATAACATAAGGTATGGCAATACTGCATAAATTATTTTCCCATAATTCTTTAGTTATTCTTAAAGTATTCATCATACTTGGACTTAGTTGGCATATAATACTTCCTGTTTGAATATTGTATTGTATGTTTGGTACTATGAAGATTATTTAAATTATTAGTCAAATTTTTTCATGTATAAATTTATTTCTTTTACTTGGCCTTGCTAAATGAAGACTTGTGAAAGAACAATACAATTTTATAAAAGACATCTGAGTCAATGTTCCGTAATTTAATAGTTCAATTTTTATATGTGCTTGAGCTGATGAACTTATTTCACCTAGATAAGAATACATTTAGCTTTGGACTAATATAATGGAAAATATCATTGAAATAATGAAAATAAAACCTTCTCGAAGTTTAAAGCCAACATTAGCTTGATTCAAAATTAGTGATATTAATTTATGTTTTTGTGGGACATATGAAATACAATCATATTTAGATAAACAACATTTTTTTTGTAAGTTATACAAAATATTTACCTGTAAAAAACATTATGTTAGTAAGAACAACTGAAATTAAATATAATATTATAAAAGAATATTGAATAATACTTTTAACGTATTGATAATTCGGTTTTGTAATGTTTAACTTCAATTATATAAAACATATAATTGAACATACAATATTATATACATTTCTAGTGATTAAAAATATAACAATGTAATATTAGTTACATATATATTAGTTATTAGTTTGAGTTAAAAAATAAAAATAAAATGTAATTTCATGTTAAATTATTTATTAATATCATTATATTATATAAAAAATATTAAAAATTGGTAATAAAAATTATATTTTTATATGTAATGAAAAAAAAATTTATTCATTTATTTTAATTTTAGATACGACCCCAAAGTACATAATAAATCTAAATCATGGTATAATATGCATTGAAAAATGTTTATTTTACTTTTAATGAAGATGAATAAAATGAGAATTGCCCATATGAAACTAATGTAGGAGAAAAATATGAATCAACTCGAAGACAACCAATTAAACATCTGTAAAGATAAATACTAAATAATAGTATTTGAATTCAATGTTTATTAACAACAAATTGAGTTATACTTCATTTCAATTGGAGAATTAAATATGCATGAATTATCTAATGTAATACGCCATACATTTGAAACAGATTTTAATGAATCAAGTCTTAGAAGTAATAGTTCATCTTTAGGAAATATAAAGCTGATGTACTCTTTAAAACTATGCTCCATTTCATCAAACCACTGTAAATGAAGTGTTATGTCTTCTTTGATCTAGGTAAATTAATAAAAATATTTCATGTAGTAATTCTAAAATTATTATTACATACGTTAGATGAATTAGCTTTGATGGTATTTTTAACATCAAAAATTTACTTCAGTAGGAATTGGCTGTATTTCAATTTTTGTCAACGTTCTAGGTTGTGGATATTTCCATGTTATGCGTGGAGGATTACTATTTACATTTTCAGATAACAAAATTTGATATGGCAAAGGAAATTCTGGACTTTCACATTCAATAAATTGAAAAGCTCCTGCTCTTAGATCATCTCGATAAAATTGTTCATAAGATTCAGTAGCTATAATTAATAATTTTATACATTTTGAACATAAAATCACACAATTAAGTTATGTTTTAGTAAAATTTACATTTATTCTTATAATTATCTTCTTTTTGTTCATTATTCACCAAAAACTTAAATTCATTAAGAATCAATTTCAGAATATCACAGTGATTGGGAGAAACATGAAATGATATATAATCAGAATTCATTTTTATTAATTTAGCTGGTCTATAAGATTCAGGAACCCATGAATCTGATGTTAAATTTATTTTCATTGATACTGTCCATGGGTATAACACAAGATTGTTTGTATTTGAATTTGGCCAGTTATGTCCGACAGACATGGTAACACTATTTAATGTTACTTCACTATTTAAACGTTCAGATGGAATTTTCCATAATGAATTTAATTTTGTTTTAATATTTTCAATACTAAGAGCAATGTTTTCTAAAACATACATTTTTTTATTACAAAATTGTTTAAAGAACTGATGAAATTGTAAACAAAAATGAATACCATTATGCAAAGTAGATAGTAGTATAAATATTTGTTGAGTTGTTAATGAAAAAAAAATTGGTTTTGAATACCAATGATTTTCTTGAGATATTGTATGTGAAGATTCAGTAAATAATTGCTTTGTGGTTAATTCATTTTCATAGTCCCCTATTATGGTTACATATTCTTTTTTTTTTAAATTTAAGTTGTTTACATCATATTGATAACTGGTAGATGATTCATCAGTAGAAGGAATTTCTATATTTTCATAATCATTAGGCCTATAAAGTAGTTCAAAATTTTTTAAAGTATAATTTTTAATAAAAATATATTTATTGTTACATATATTTTATTCTATAGTTATAGAAGAAACTCACTTTGTAAAATCATTATTTATATTATATGTTGTATTAGACTGTACAATGAAATTGTTTAAATTTTCTTTTATTCCATTAAATAGATTGTTTACATGTTCAATTATGTACTTGTTTAAAAATAGAGAAATAGCTCTTCCTATATTCAAATCAATCTGAAAAAAAAAAAATAAAATAAAAAAATGTTGTACAATTTTTGAAATTGTAATATTTTTAGCCACAAATTAATATTTCATATGATAAAAGAAAATAGATTATAGTAAAATCTAATACGAATAGAATGGTTTCATAAAATATTAGCATTATTAGCAATTTCAAGTGAAGAGAGTGGGACGTCATCCCCTATTCAGCAATATTTTACTGTTACAATTTTCCAACACGTGAGGATGCTACAAAAAAAATTAAGATACCATTTCATTAAAAAAAAATAATAATTTTTTCATCTTTTCATATTTTCATGATGGCCCTATATGGTAGAAGAGCAAATATTATAGTGATGATATTAATTATCTTTACAATCAAAGTATGCACTGAGCTTCACAGTATATGTTCAGTTTTTATTCAAAACGCTTTAATTTACATTAAGTAGTTTCAAAATAAAATTTTATTTTAGGATGTGATTGGCAATAGAGAGTTTGGGAAAACTTTCACTTTTGAAAGAGAGATCAATTTAGCTTTGCATCAAAACTATAATGATTATTTTCTCTAAAATTGTTCAATAAAATCAGTATAATTTTTTTACAAATAGATACTAGATTTTTACTAACTTTATTTTGACCCACAGTAGATGGACATGCTATTTTCAATGTAAAGAACGCTTGAGGAATTTCTTCATCTATATTTGATTTTGTTTCAAATAATATCATAGAGTATTCATGAATGTTAGGTACTTCAACATTACATAGTTTATTAGATGGAGGTAAAAATACAGCTATATCAAAAAGTATTACCTATAAAAAATTTATTAGATTAAAATTTTTTAAATAATAAAAAAATATACAAGTTAAAAAGAATTGTTTTGAATTTTAAGAAGTAACACTGTATGCCTTTTTAAATTTTTTTGACATAACATTTATTATATAGGCACACAAAAAAAAAATGGTTCATACTTTTGCTAAGATCATCATAGGAATATGTATTTCAATTCGCCAATTTTAAATTTGAAATAATTTAAGCTCATACAACTTCAAAATTTCAAAAATACTATAAAAATTTGTAAATATTGCAAAAATGTACAAAAAAGTAAAAATAGAGAATTTATAAAATAAATTAAAATTGTTAAAAATCATAACATAAGGGAGACAGTGTAGCAGAGACTTAGATACAGGTAACTTCATTATTGTACAAGAGATCAATTCAGTCGTTGGATTTGTTATCCCCCTCTCTAAATTACGAACTAACAACACAGACCTCCTCTTTGGAAATGGGTCATGGATGTATGAGCTGTTTAAATGTTTCATGTATTAGCTTAACGCATTGAAATACATAAAAATTCATAAAAATTACAAATAAATCTGTATTTTTTAATTTTTTTTTTAAATATTTGAATATTATATATTAATTTTTTCAAACTTTTGAGAGTGTATTATCTAAAATAACTTCAAATACAGTATATTGAAATATGTAGTAATATATATATGTGTAGTACTTGACAAAAGTACAGATCACTTTTTTTTATGTATGCCTGTGTTATTTTTATGTAATATTGTAATCTACAAATGTCATTGATTTGACAATAACTCATATCTTTATAAGAATATGATTTAATATATGTTATTCTACTAAATTATAATTAATATCTCTCCAAAATATTAATTTATTAATGGATTATATTTTAGTAAAAAACTTGTAGTATTTTAAGAAATACTCCACAAAGGATTTCTATCTCTCATATATCATATATTCCTGACCTTCTCAACACTTAAAAAGTAATAGTTCAAAACTCATTATAAATAAATTGAATAATATTAAGTGGCTAATAACTAAGTTGTTATTTAAACTTGGATGACTCTGTACCTTATAATAAGATAAAACATGTAAAAAATATATAATACTAGGACAATCAGTACTACCAAATTATCATTATTTATTATGAAATTAAAAATATTTAAGTATGTACTTGACATGATGAGTAATTATATGTATTTGAAAAAAATACATGAGGCTGGTGAAATACTATGTATATCAATGGCTCTGATGTCTTTATTTCATTTTTTAGAGTATTCTTAAAAAAATTTAAATTAATTTGATTGCTTGTTATAATTAAATCCATTGGAATTTTGTTTTCAGTCATTTTACTTCTGAAATAGAACAGAAAAAAAATTTAATTGTTTATCTGTATTAAATATATGTATTTATTAGATAATAGACAAAAAAATGATTAAAAGTATTAGTAAATACTTATAATGCTCAATAAATAAGATAATATATATAATATAAATACTCAATAACAATGCAATAATAGAAATTTTTTCATAATGATAAACCATGATGATACTATTTTGTTGGAACTCGGGGTAGAATATTATCTTGTAGTAGGATTGTGAAACATAACTTGTTTTAAATACCAAAAATTAAAACAAATTTTTTTTTAACGACCCTGGTGGTAGTATACTATTACAACATTACTTAAAGATCTATTTTCTTTTACATTGTAACATAATTTACAGCTGAGCTTGTATAAATGTATCCAATACAAAAAAAAAAAAATATTTCAGCAAAAGATTTCAATAAAATTATAAATTGTACACTTTTTATACTCATTTAATTAGTATATGTACACATACTATATTTTTGCACAGTACAATTTTAAATATATATTTCAGAAATCACAAAAATGTTGGAAAAAATTTTTGTTTTCTTTTATAAATTAACATATTGTTGAAATTTTTGAATTCATCATCATCTATTAAAGGGAATGCCTTGTTGTTGAAGTTACTCCTCTCTGTTTGACTTCAAATTCTTCAGTAAAACAAAAGACTCAGAGTTCATGAGCTCCAGGATTTTTTCAAAATATTGTTTTCGGAGGAGTCCTCTTGGTTTCTTCACAGTTATTTTTCCTTTGAAGATGTTGATTATAAAGTTATTGTGTCGAATGATGTGAACGATTATCTTTATTTTCCTTGATTTAATCACTCTCATTAGCTGTCTTTCTTCTAGCCCTTCCTCATTTCTTTTCTTGTCTATCCATTTTGTCTTTGTCATTTTTCTTCATGTCCATAAGTCTAATGCTTCTGTTTTTCTTGTCAATTGTCCATGTTTCACTGCTACATGAAAACACACTTGAGACAAATATTTAAAATAATCTTTTACGTATGTCAATGCTCACATATTTATTAGTGAGAAGCTGATTCTTATTTTGGAATGCTTGCTTTAGAATTCACTTATCAGTATTTCGGGTCTTTTTCTATCACCATTTACATCTATTTCATTTTCTATATATTCCTCTTCATTTTCGATCTCCTCTTTTCTTCCATATAAATTTTCCACCTCTCTACTACCTTTTCATTTACAAACAGAATTTTGACTTGTTTTTTTTAAACTATGTTGCTGGATATTTTGGGTTAATATTGCAGTTTTTTAATTTTATTATAGGCTTTCCCTGTATAGTTGCTTAGTAGATGTTCTATTTCTTGTATGTTTTGATTTAGCCAACATTCTTTTGCTATACAGCATTTTGTTACACTTTTTTTATCTGTTTATATAAATTATAATCTCTGTTCCTTAATTTGTTCCTTATTTCAATAAATTCAAGAACTTGTCTAATCATCCATAGCTTCCTCAGTTCTATTTTATTTTTAGCGATTATGTTATCTGCAACTCTAATTATGTCCATTTTCATACTATCTTTTACTACTTTATATATTTATTATTTTAAAATTATTATTAAAAGCTCTTATGATTTTAAAGAAAAAAAATTATTATTTTGATATTTTAGCTTATTTTCAAGTAAAATATGATATTTTATAATACAAAATTATAAAATATTATAATGGTACTTACATAAGTTTTTCTTTAGAAATAGCTTTATTATCTTTAACCGAGATGTATTCAAAATCATTTGCAATTAAATAATCATCTTTTGTTTGGGTAACATTGTCAGCAATAGTTGATTCTATGAGTACACTATTGGTGTTATTATTTTTTAAATGACTCAAAATAAATAATTCAAAATGAGATAAAATTATATTTAGTAGGTTCAACTGTTCTATTGATAGCATCAAGTTTATTTCTGTTTTTGCATTTATCTAAAACAAAATTTATTAAAAAAGAGAAAACAATGATTTTTTAATATTTACTTCTATCCAACTTCCACAAACCAAAGTGTTCTCTGGTTCATAAAATATACCAGGAGCAAAAATAGAATGAAATGACAAATTGTTAGATAATTTTGAATAAAAGATATCATCAAAATTTGAACTGCCTACAGATTTTGGTTTTATTCCTTCGTTCCATAGTAAAGCAGCATTTAGATGATGATCAACATCTACACAAGATAAGAACTGATCATTTTCTAAAACTTGTTTGAAATCAATCCAAAGTCCACAATTTAAAGAAATATTATTTATCATAATTTGATATTGACGATCTTCCATTATTGATCCTGGGATAGATAGAAATCCTCTCTTTTCTGCTTCAATATACAAATCTTTTCTTATTGGTGTTCTTGTAATAGGGTTTTCAGGATTTTGATCAACTTTAATTGAATCAATCTAAAATTAATTTGACAGTTATAATTATAATTGATAAGTATAAAAGTATATTTTTGGTCTCGAGGAAAAAGGACTCAGATTCACTTTTACTATTATTTTATACTTTCATTCATATAGCATAATGCTGCGAGTTATTCTTCATTATAAATTACTAAATTAAGTTATGATTTTTTTATAAAATGGTTAATATTTACAGTTTTTAGCACTTTTTATCTATTTATTCAATAAATAATGCTATTAAGTTTTTTAATTTAATTTTACTACCCTAATACTTTCTATTAGATTTCTAGAAAGAGTCTAATATAATTTTGGTAAATTTCTTATAGGCTGTATAACTTAAAGTAGCCAAATAATAATATTTTATATTATAAATAATAAAGCCGTAAAATTTCAATTTTCAATTTTCAGAAGTTTCAATTTCAAAATAATAATACAGTACATTAGTTGAGACGACATTTTATTAATGGTCGAAAAATGGATAACACTGCACTATATTACTATATCTATATCACTACAAATTTTAATACCTGTAAAAGATACTACATTTAATTTAAAAAGACTAAAATTAAAGTGAAAGGTTAATATAATAATAAATCTATTCGTAAATAAAAAAATACGTATTTAAAATAAGGAAAAATATTTATTCACAACATGGTTATTATTTTAAAAAATTCCTAGTGGCTATCAATAAAAGAAACATCTGTAAGCTGATTTAAATAAACATATTTTTTTGAAGTGCCAATAGCTGTACTCTTTATCTTAAAAAAGTGTTTTCGATTTCCTTAAAGAGCCCCCCTAAAAAATTAAATAAACATAAGTCCCAATTACCTGAGACCTAAGATAAAATTCTATGTTTAAGCAATTAATAATACTTGAACTACAACTGTATCTTGATGTTGAATTTCAGTGTTAATAAACGAAATAGGTATAAATATTCTTAGAGTTGATAAATCCAAGTAAAATAATGGTAAATAAGAGGAAAGTAAGTGTCTATTAAATCTTAAATTTTGGTTGTCATCTGAAGAATTCGAGGAATATTTGTAATTACTATAAGTAAGTACTATATCAATAAGGGGATCAATGACACATAGAAATTTATGAATAATAATAGGTGATAAAACAATATCAATTGGTTGAACTTTTATTACTATTTCCATTATAAATTCTTTCATTACTTGCCGATTTGATTTTAACATATCATCACTAATCTATAACAAAAATAATGATAAATGAATGGACTACAATTAAAATTTACAAGGGATAGTCACAAAATTTTCTAAAAAACGTAAAACAATTTAAAAAATTTTAACCAAAAAAACAAAATAATATATTTTTTAAGATATCCTTAAATTATATAACATTTTTTACTTAGCAAATTATTATTTAGAAAATTTGGTGCTGGCTATTTGTGAATTTTAACTTTTACTCAAATAATATTTTGAATAAAAATAAAATAAAATAATTTAATAGCTGTATAAATAATTAATATTTAATTTGTTATACATCAATGCTTTAGAGCTTTATTCCATCTAAAAGTTATATAAATTTTTTTGAATTTTTAAACTCATTTATTAATCTGTTTACTTGTCAAAACATTTAATATAAATAATATAGTTAAAATATTATTACTATACTTAGTAATTACCATAAAAAATTGTGTGTTATCCATATTTGAATCAGTTTTTTTAAAAGAACTTTTTAATGCTCGTGTTATTGTTACATTTAAAAACCCATCTGTTTTAGAAGAATTTTCTAAAATATTTAATAAATCATACCCTTTAAGAATAATTCCTAAATAAGGTCCATGATTCCATTGTTCTTTTTGATTTCTTAAATAATATTAAAACATTAATGGCATAATATCTCAACATAAAATGAGATTCATCAATTAAAAAAACACTATTACTTCATAAAATGTTGAATTGAGGCTGATGAAATTTTTAATTTCAACTTATGATAAGATATTCCGAAGTCAAGAGAACTTATAACATCTTCTAGCTCTAATACAAGCTTGATATTTTCTGAACAATACTGTTTATGATAATTACTAATCGTTAGTGATAAACGAGCCAATGTCCATTGAAACCAGCCAGATAGTTTAATATGCTCTTCAGATATACCTAGATGAAAATCATACTAAATAAATATTTTTTAGTAAATAAAATTTATTAACTCAAATAGTAAAGAAAAATATGTAATATTAAATTTTATTTAAGGTAGAAAAATACAAAAGATAGCTCTAAATTTTTGAACTACAAGATTTTCCACTTTTTTTTTTTAACAAATATTGCATTAATGGATTATACACAAAGCGTACATAAAGTTCCTTTTCTTTATTATGTAAAATGAAATTTTAGCTACTACTAAAATACTAATCGCTAATTAACTATATAATATTATAACAAAATAAGTTATTTTGTTGATAAAAATTATCTCAATAAGTACTATATGAATTACAGCTGATGAAAAATGTTAATACTTCTTAAATAAATTAAAACTTTGTTTTTCTTTGCTATAGAAAAAAAATTTAAATGTGTTTATTAAAGCAATACTTTTTTTTAACAAATATAAAAAATACTGAGTGGATTACAAGTTATAATTTATCAGTTTTGATTTGTGCCATTTGGTACAGTGTCAGAAATCTGATTGTTTTTTTAACTAACTTCTATTAATTAGAAACATTCTCTAGCAGAAAAACGTCTAGTCTAATTTTTTTCTGTTGAAAGTAGGTTTCATTGTATAAAAATAATAATCAGATTAATAATATTAATAGTAATCAATAATATTTTAATCCAATAATTAAATATCTCAAAATTAAAATACCATAAAGGCATTAAAAAAAAAAACCGTTTTATGCAATTAAAAAATGCTATAACCTATTTTTAAAAACACTGATCCTAATTAAATTTTAATAAAAAAGCTTATGGTCTCTATTATAACAAAAGCTTTTTTTTGTATACTTTCCTCGAAAATTCAATTAAAAATCTGAGTACTAGAAAAGTTTGAAAGAGACCACCAATGCAAAAAAAAAAAAATATCTTTCTCAACTCAATTTTTTAAATTGTTTTGGAATGTCTAATAACTAATAACCTAGAAAAAGTTAAAGGTTTTGAATTGGATGTGGAGTTGAGTACCCCATGTAAATTTGATCAGTGGAAATATTAAGGATTTTCCTTTGACATCTAATTTACCAATAAATGATCATACATTAAATACAGGACTATTTATAGAAACATCATTATTTATTCTTAAAGTAAGTTTGAATATAAAACATATAGAATATTTTAGCTTCGATGTGAAACTGATAACATATTGGTTTTACCATAACTTTTTTTTTTATATCAGTCCATAAAAATTATTAATCCATAAAACTTTGAGAACTCTGCCATCAAAATAAAAAAATTCAAAATTTTTACAATAAATGTACTTTCTTTTCAATTAAACAAATAATTTAACAGGTATTTAATATTTTATTGAAAAAAATTTAAAATTTAAAAATTTTAAATTTAAAAATAGTGAAATTACAAATATAGAAATTTTTATGTAATTCAACAAACTTGCATCAAACCGTCTTTTATGATAATGAAGATAATTAGTGTCAGATATCATCTAAACTTCTTCCAACTATATTGCGCCCCCATTATACCTTGGCAATTTAAAAAAACCCAGCACAGGGGGATCGCGGCACAGTGGTGACGTGGCATAGATGGATCAAGTATAATGATATCTGACAGTGATTAAAATCACTATCATAAAAAACGCTTCGATGCAAATCATTAGATAGTGTTTAATTTAAAAAAATTGGTGGATTATTCCAAAAGCTTCATAAACTGCTAGTTCCTTATTAATATCCTGATTAAGATAAAGTATGTCGAATGAAAAAGGGATTATTAAAAAATAGTATTTCCCATAAAAAAATTTATTGATCAATACACTTTTCAATAAGTTATAGCATTATAAAGTTAAAAATGTAAAAAATAAAATTGAGAATTTTCACACAATAATAGCATTTGGTAGCCATTTTCACCGTGAAGACAAAATAAAGTCCGAAATTTTTTTTTTACATAATAAAGTAGATTACATTAGCTTTAATTTAATATATATATAAAAGTGTCAGACTTTCCGGAACACTTTCAAAATTTAAGTTGAAAAAGTCAATTTTTTGTGAAAAAGTTGTCATTTTGAATCCCCCCCTGTAGGCAGGTAAAAAGTCAGATTTATAAAAAAAATATACCAAATGATAGGTAAAGACATCATGCATCTACAAAAAAAAGAATTATATTGATCCATAGATCTTTCAAAAAGTTATAACATTATAAAGTTAAAAATATAAAAAAGAATTTTTTTACAAAAATCGTATTTTTTTTATTAAGTTTAATGTCTGTTTTCACCATG